AACTGGAAATATTATAAAGTTGGACAGTTTTTCATACTTTTCACCCTAACCCATTCATAACGAAATACAATGACTAGACTGACATAATAAGGAAACAAGATACTCTGCATACAGATTCCCCCCTGCAAGCAGGCCATTTACCCAGTCAAGGTGGTGTAACAAGTTTCATTTACGGAAGTGACGATTTGTATTGAAATCAGTCCTTTATGTAAAATGAAAAACAAGAATACGGGGGCGTGGTCTAACCCGTGGCGAGGACAGTCGCATGTAACCAGAGCTCCGCTCCTACAGACCCATACAAAGCATTTTTTACTAGCGAAAATCACAGGGAAGAATAAAACTAAAATCCCGGATAAAGGAGAAAAAAAATACATGCTTTGGAGCCAGATCTCAACAACCCAAGCAGGCTGCAGTGTAAGAGAGCGACAAAGTGTGATGACACACTGCCGCTGCAGAAAGACCCGACAGAGAATTTGCCGATCACACAAGGCGTGCTGCAGAAGTGCCTAGACACTATGTCAGACAAAATGTTATCTAACATCAATAAATCCTAGCAGACCTCAGGAAGGACATGCAAGATCTCGGTGACCGCACTGCCAGAATGGAGAATAGAATGGGAGAATACGCGGAGGCCCACAACGACATGGCGGAGCATGTGCAGAGACTCAAGCACCAACAAGACCAGCTACAGCTAAAAATAATGGACTTAGAAGACAGATAAGATTTCGCGGCATCTCCGAAGAAGTCAAACACCCAGACCTAACAGAGTTTCTGACAGGCCTATTTAAAGCGCTTGCACCGGACTTACCTGCAGACATGCTGCTCATAGATAGGGCGCATAGAGTGGCCAAACCAAACTTTTTACCAGCGGAAGCCCCAAGAGACGTGCTAGCAAAATTACACTACTATCATAAAAAAGACACCATTAAGCAAGCATCAAGAACACGAGGAGACCTACCAGAATGTTATGGACCCATACAGCTATATTAGGATCTCTCAGCACTTACCCTCTAAAAATGCAGAGAATTCAAAGAAATCACGGAGGCTCTTAGGACCCAGAGGCTACCATACCGCTGGGGCCATACGGTATGCCTAATTATCCATAAAAACTGAACTCTCACAACCATATAGACACTGTAAGATGGCAAACAGGCTCTGAAATCCTGGGGCATCACCACGCAGCAACGTAAAGAGAAAACGCAGCCCACACAAAGATTATCCTCAAAAAAAAGCCCGAAGATAAAGGGACCTCCACGGACCAGAAATAGCGGCTAAGGGTTTGAATATAATATAGTAATTAAGTACTGTTGCACTGTATTTAGCTAGATAGCCTCTGTCCTGAACATGGACGGAGCTGTACTATGCTGTATTGAGTCAGGGAATAAGCATTATGTTCAAAAGAAAAGTAGCATGTTAAGTCTACATATGTTTAGATGTTATAGATGTTATAGCTTACATTGTTTAGTTATATTTAACATAATGTGATATTTCATGTTCAAGAATGTAATCATTGAATGGTTGAATCCCAAATATCAAACTACCATGGACGGTAGGAAGGGCAAATGTCGCAAAAGCCAACCCGCATACCCCACCAGGGCCCTCTGACAAAACTCTGTGATATAGAGTAATTCCACCCAGGGAGGGGAACAGACTCTACAGTGATTAAATAACTCCCTCAACCGACACACAGAAGGGGCAGCTAAAACCACAACAAAGTATAATGTGCAGTACGAGAGTTATTGAGAGTTCCAGTCAACTCAATTAAGATGGGACCACAATCACCAAACTGAAAGGGAAAACCCTGTAATACACTGAAAGGGGTCGGACACACCTAATGTATTGCAAGTTTGAACCCCCACCACGTTCCAAAGCGGTGCAGGCAACCTGCAATCAAGCCCAATTTAGGGTATTTTGTGGGATCTTTACCCACACCAGTACCACTCAGTCACGGGGCACAAATCCAAAGGTGTATCAGTCCTCATCAAAAACACAGTTGCATTCACACACAGATTCCATGGGAAGATATGTTATTCTGCTATGCATTATAAATAACATAGAATACACCATAGTCTCGATCTATGCCCCAAACACTGACCAAAGAAACTTCCTCCACAAGCTACTAACTAAAATAACACAGGTTCAAAGAGGCATGTTGATCTTATGCGGAGACTTCAACCACATTGTAGATTCTTTATGGGATGCAACCACACACTCAAATTCCAAACAAAGGGCGAAACTAAACTCCACATGCACCGCATATAAGAAACTACTGGATGACCACCAACTATATGAAACATGGAGAGTACTACACCCACACCAAAGGGATTACACCTACTGCTCCGCTCCCCACAAGACCTACACAAGGATCGACAGATTCCACATCCACATGTAACACCTAGACACCAATATACACCAATATAGCAGACAGCAATATACACACAATCAGCTGGTCAGACCACGCAGCAGTGACATTGACGATCAAAGATCTATATGAGTACAAAAACAAAAGCCCATGGAGACTTAACGAATACCTACTAAATGGCAAGTCATTCACAGACTCCCTATCAGTAGAAATCACACAATATTTTGAAATCAACCACTCCCAACAAATGCCAATGAGCACGATTTGGCAGGCACACAAACCAGTTATTAGGAGACTACTACTAAAAAAAGCAGTGCAGCAAAAACATAGCACCCAAGCACAGTGGTCAAGCTGGAACATACAATTGCAAGAGGCAACCACACAACATAAAACACAACCAACTGAAGCATTACAAACCACAATTAAAGACTTACAGGACAAACTTAGAGAGCACACACTAGAAAGAGTGTTTTTATTTATGAAAACTCAACATGCAACAGTACACGCAAGGCAATAAAGCCAGTAAAATGTTGGTGTCTAGGCTCAAACGCAAAGAAATAAAAAACAGAATAGCGTACATAATAGACCACAACAACATGAAAGTCATATCCCCAGTAGAAATAAGTAAAGCCTTTGCCTCATACTGCCAAGCGCTGTACAACTTGAAAGAAACGGAATGCATAGAAGAACAGAATAGCACAGACATTCGCACGTATCTAGAGGACATCCACCTAGCACAACTATTTAACCAGGCTACACAATCAGGAACCTTACCCCAAGAACTACTAATGGCGCACATCATCACACTCCTCAAACCGGGCAAACCACCAACACACTGCCCTAACTTCCGCCTAATATCGCTTTTGAATACAGACCCAAAATTGTACGCCAAAGTGCATGCACAACAATTATGCAAGATACTACCATCCTTGATCCATAATGACCAAGTGGGCTTTGTGGCAGGAAGACAAGGATCAGATAACACCCGTAAAGTATTAGACCTAGTGCATAGCATACGTAGGTTGGGAAAAGAAAACCTTTTAGTATCATTGGACGCAGAAAAAGCCTTTGACCGTCTCAGCTGGTCATTTCTCCAAGAAGTACTCCAGAAATTCAATTTCCCCGAACAATTTCTCAGAACAATTCAAGCCCTATACAGCCACCCCACAGCCAAAGTCGTACCTGTAGGTTTCTGCTCGGACGCCTTCGAAATAACAAACGGAACAAGACAAGGCTGCCCATTTTCACCGCTGTTGTATGTCCTAGTGCTGGAACTACTAGCCAGCAAAATAAGAAACAAAATCTCAATTAAAGGTGTCAAGCTGGGCAGTAAAGAGTACAAATTAAGTCTCTTCGCAGATGATATATTCCTCACATTAACGGAGCCGCACATTTCAATGCCCAACCTCATGAAACAGATAGAACTGTACGGGAAGTACTCATACTATAAACTAAATATCACGAAAACGCGAGCCATAGGAATAAATATCTCCTGGCCACAGCTGAAAAGACTTCAAGAAAACTTCCCATTAGACTGGCGCACAGACTTTCTAACATTCTTAGGCCTTAAAATCACAAAATGTCCGGCTGGCCTGCTCAAAGCCAACATACACACAACATACCACATACACACACTCTCAATCATCAAATATACGCTACAAGAATGGGAGGGGAAATTCATATCGTGGATAGGTCGTATAGCAGCCCTAAAGATGACACTCTTGCCCAAGCTGCAGTACCTTTTCAGAACCTTACAGACCTTACACCGAGGTTCAAAATCTGTTCCTGAAGTTTACATGGCACAAAAAAAGATCAAATAGCCACCAGAATCCTGCAGAAGAACATCACAGAGGGCGGACTGGGATTCCCAGATATTCAAGCCTACTATCAGGCAGCTATTCTCAACACTGTCTCACAAACAACATCAACGAACAACCAATCCCAATGGATGACGATAGAAGCCCACTGGGAAGCCCCAATGGAGCTGCAAACCTACTTCTGGACCCTGGTAAAATGGAGACCACAAACACTCCACTTACTGCCCACGACCCAATTTGTGCTAGACATCTGGGACTTGCTCAAACACGAAACTACCAACCAATCCCATTAGCTACTCCCCTAGAAGCACTAGCGAAAATAATCCCCACATTAGACAAAAATCCATGGCTATCACATGGCGTGAAATATATCGTACACCTTTACGAAGATTGCAAACTAAATACCACCTACCAAGCCGAATGCTATTCCCCTACCTACAAATCAAATCATTAATTAAGCTCGAAACCAACCACCCGCAATGAAAATCCACAAAACATGTTATCTCAATTTGAGAAAATATGCACGAACACAGCACCACCACGAAAAGTGATCTTAATATGCTACCGACGTCTGACCTCAAGCAAACCAAAAGACAAAAACAATTATAAACAAGCATGGCACAAAGAACTGAATTGCACCATTGAAGAAGATCAATGGCTGGAAGCGTACAAATCTCACAAAGGTGTTACCTCATGCACGAACCATTTGGAACTACAAAGGAAGTTGCTATATCGTTGGTACCTAGTCCCAGATAAAATACACAGAATATGGCCAAACACCTCCAAAAACACATGTTGGAGATGCAATAAACAGGTGGGAAAAATGCTTCACACCTGGTGGACATGCCCCATTGTACAGCCCTTCTGGAGGAAAGTCCAGGACATCATAGAACAAGTTTTAAGAATTGAAACAAAGCTCATCGTAGACATGTGCATACTGTTCATACGTCCGGAACACATGAATAAAGTACAATGGGCAACTACATACCACGTACTCATATCAGCAGCAATGGTGATAGCTAGGCTTTGGAAGATGACAACCCAACCACAAGTCAATAGCCTCATCAACAAAATTAACACCAACTGGCAATACTAAACTATGTACATGAACCAGTACGAAGAAAGGAAAATCATCACCAAAGCAAACCTGATGTGGAAGGAATACTGGACCAAAGTACAGAAGAACCAAACCGAATTAAAATAGTGAATCAATTAACACCCCAAACCAATAATTACAATCACCACTACACCACAGACACAGGATACGAAACAGTAAAATCAAATAGACGTTTGTCAAACAGACACCATACAGAACTACTACACTCACAACCACACAGAGGCTAAGGGAACATCAGACGCGAGAGACAAGGAAGTAAGAGCACACCAATAACTAGTAAGGCAGGAGTAAAATGAGTGGCACTAAAAGTCGCATACTCAAGCAGAAACAACCACCTAGTAACAGAAATTATGCAAGTTGCTACAAGCAGACAAAGGAAACTTTCTTACTGAAAATAAAAATTCTTACTGAAAATAAAAATTGTCAATTGAAAAACAAGCATACACTCGTCACACATAAGTCACTTTAACTTTAGGGCTTTATGGGTCTGGATTGTCCCTTTAACCCCTTAAGGACACATGACATGTGTGGCATGTCACAATTCCCTTTTATTGCAGAAGTTTGGTCCTTAAGGGGTTAAGGGAAAGCTGTCCACCTGGTAGCACCTCTGCAGTACATACACTTTGCTGTAATCAACCCTTTCTTACAGATCACAAGGGGATTTTGTATCTCAACTATATTTTTGGGCTTACTTCAAAGGCTCCTGACACATTGCACTTCTGGTGGCAAATCAGCCATATTGCTCTCATTCACTATTTATTTCTGCACCTCACCTTAATTTAAGAAGGAGAACAAAATTTTGCCCTTCCATAATGGGCATTTTGTTTTGGATGAAGCCTTCTGATGCTAAAAGGAAACACCAATGGTTGTCATAAAGCAGATGTTGCTCCTATTTTAAAAACTTTTCTTAGTGCTTTGGACATGATGCCAAATCTTGATATGCTGGTCTATGGTATATGGACCTTCTGGAGTCTTATTTTTTAGATGGACCTGACATTTTCCTTGTTTTAGCTTCCCTCTCTGTGCTGGTTACTACTACCAACCATTCTCCTCCATATAAGGATTTTACTGCTTACTAGAGAACTTTGAGCTTACTACGGAGCTCAACTGCCTTTCCTCCCCTTGCAGGGTTAAAGGACCACTATAGTGCCAAGAAAACATACTTGTTTTCCTGGCACTATAGTGCCCTGAGGGTGCCCCCACCCTCAGGGACCCCCTCCCGCCCGGCTCTGGAAAGGGGAAAAGGGGTTAAACTTACCTTTTTCCAGCGCTGGGCGGGGAGCTCTCCTCCTCCTCTCCTCCTCCGTTCCTCCTCCTGGGCGCGCATTCAGCCGGTCACATAGGAAAGCATTCATAATGCTTTCCTATGGACGCTTGCATGCCCTCACTGTGAAAATCACAGTGAGAAGCACGCAAGCGCCTCTAGTGGCTGTCAATGAGATAGCCACTAGAGGATTAGGGGGAAGGCTTAACCCATTCATAAACATAGCAGTTTCTCTGAAACTGCTATGTTTATGAAAAAATGGGTTAACCCTAGAAGGACCAGGCACCCAGACCACTTCATTAAGCTGAAGTGGTCTGGGTGCCTAGAGTGGTCCTTTAAGGGCTGTTTTCTCCAGTACTTTTCTTCTCATTTATTTTTCTTTGTTGAGTGACTTGCCTGCAACCCTATCTTTTCTCGTTCGTTCTTTCTTTCTTTCCTCCGTGCTGTATGAATCTTGATTTCCTTCAGTGCTCTTTTTTTTCATTATTGTAGCTTTATAAGGGCTCACGTACTTGGTCTGCGTTTCAAATGGCAACACATAGTTATAAAGTGCCATTTGTGATTATTCTAATGAGCTCTTTCTATACAACCTTAGTGTTAGAATTTTCAGAGTAAAATCTTGGTGTAGAACAACATCCTTAAGGTCTGTAATACTGCCAGAGTCTTCAGGATTCCACTAATAACATGTAATCAAACAATTAACAATGCATAAGAGGTATTTGCCAAGGATCCAGAAAAAAAAAGTCAGTGTGTATGCAGCCTTTAAGAACCTAGTCGCTTTTGCTAATTAAAGATAAATGACCTATCATTCTTAATTACTAAACTTCAAAGCATGAGTGATAAATGATACTGTTCTGCTTTTAAAGGAACATTATCATGAAAAATAGTGTGCTCCTAAATATTGTATGTCTAGGAGTTTTTTACTGATGCAAAAAAAAAAAAAAAGGCAAATCTGTCATGTTTTCTTCGGGATGCATACCATCATCTTATTACTACGCTACTTTTATTTTGACTTTTATTTGACTTTGCTTTTGCTGAACTTGACCATGATCTGAAATGAGCAGGAACCTACCAGTTAACACCCAAAAAATATACTACCATTTTCTCTTTTTAGTCTAAAACTACAGTTTCCATGATGCTTTGTCATTTTAAAGGCATTCCAAAGGCATGAAATGCATCATGGGAGTTGCAGTTCTACAACATCTCGGGATCTACCTTTTGGACACCCCTGATTTAAATATTAAGTTCTCTCATAATATATAATACCATACATTGTGCATTAAGTAGAAATAGCTCTTGGAGGGCCAACAATTGACAAATTCTAAGATTGTTATACTGTCAGCTAGGTGTAAATATTACACCCGGTCAGTTAAGGCAAAACATATGCCTTTTATATAACCAGAGGTGATCAATACAGTCAGTTAACTAAGTTGCCAATGTGACGGAACCATCTGTCTGTTTATTGTGGTGGATTCGTCTGCTTCTGCCCCATTCGTGTAAATGGCTGTTTTCTATAGCCCAGCCATACGAATGACTGTTTTTTCCCGAACAAACCTACCAAACGGACGGCCACCCAGGAGAGAAGTGTACTGCTGGTTAACCTATTGATCCCAATTAGAACGTTGTGGTTAACCGCATACACTTCTCAATTAAACCGAATTCAGGGTGGTCGTCGTTCGTATGTCGACCACGAGGCAGCGGCCATTTTAAACCATGCGATAGCCCAGCGGTGTTCAGCTCTATTTTCATGGAACTTAAAACGGACACTCTATCTGCCGAACACCGCTGAAACAATGGAACGCCTGGCTGCCTCCACGAAAGCGTACGAACACCGGCCATTCGGGAGGTTTACAACACACGAAAGGACTTAACCCAGATAGCCATCCCATGGAGTCATTCGTATACCGAAAGACTGTAAGAACTTTGACTCCATGGCGATTGAACTATGTGTGTGGGATCTGAGTGCTATTCGCTAATAATATGCACTCAGATCCAGGCTATCTGGGGATATGTGATGCGAATGGGAAATGTTCGGTTTTTGTAAAGTTATGAATTTTTATGCATTTTCTGGTTTTATATTTAAAATGGCGACTGGCTTTGTCCTGGAGATAATTGAGTTACTTCTTAATTATCTCCAGGGCAGAGGGGAGGAAACCATAGTGTATTATGGGTAAAAGCTGTGACTGTATGTCTGGAATGTCCCCATGTCTGTCTGTCATTACAGTCTCCCATTTGGTCCCCCAAGTGGGAGACCTGCATAAATATGGGCAGGTAGCCCACAGTAAAGCCAGATCCTGTTTGACCCTCAATGTGGAGCTTCTGTCTCGTTATTGGGGGGATTTAGTATTTGCATTTAGAGACTGCTGGAGGGAACCGAAAGCCGCTTGGTGGATGTTAATGTTCGGCGGCTAACAGCAGTTTGTGGAGTTCCGTTCGGGAACTTGGAGCCGTTCACGGATCCCGGTCGGGAGATTGCTGCTTCCCCTGAGCTTGGTTCGTACACTGCAGTTTATGCGAACGGAGATTGTTGGTATTACAGAAGGGGAAGGCTAACTAAACGGCGGTTTCGTTTAAAGAAATCAGGGGTGTCTTAACAGCCAACATTCCGGGTTATTCATTAAATCCAAAATTATGGGTAAAATAGATAACTTGGAAAATAGTTCAACTAACCTGCAGGCTTGGCTATTTTAGCCCCTATTTGGCCATTTGAATTTATTTCACTTATATTTGGTGTCAGTGAATAATCCTGATTATATTCGTGTTGAATGTCAGATTTGTGACCACATAACATTAAAAGTCAGGCTGTACATGCTCCATAATGAAGACCATGCTAACTGAATGTCAGAAAGTACCCTGACATTAAAAGTTATCTAAGAAGTTCAAGAAACATTGTTTTGGGAATGGTTCTGAAAGTCCTTGAACCCTAACATTTAATTTGCCTTGTATTAATTTTCACTTTTTTTTTACTTGAAATATACCTATGTTAATGTTAATTTGCAGTGGGTTATGAACTATTACCTGACCTGCAATATGCTGCGTGGAAATAAGAAGACATATACCAAACCTCTGAATGTCGGACTAATGTTAGCAAGGACAGAGAATAGTCAGGGATGAGTCAAGGTCTAAGAAGCCAGAACATAGAATAAGCGATAAATTACAAGCCGAGTCACAGGGAAGGAGAATAAAGGATAGTCAAACTACCAAGTCAAATTACCAAATACAAGCAAAGTCAACCACCAACGATAAGAGAGTGGATCACCAAAGTAGATTCCATTAAAGAAATGGAAGAACTTACGTATTCCCTCTCACACAAATACGAGACATTCATAACTACATGGCGACCTTGGATCTCATACTTACAGACAGGCACGAATACACAAAAAGTACATGGTCCTAAGCCCAACTAGGCACAAACACGCTCACACAGCTCGCCATCAATTAGCGGGTCCACACCTGGCCAAAAACACTCCGGTGCCTTAGAACGGGTAGGAAAAAGGAGAGAGGGGGAAGAAGGGGAAAGAAGAAAGAAGAGAAAATAAATAACTGTAGGAACAATGGCATAACACTTTGCATTCCAGGTGGAACAAATGGCCTACACAGCCGCCCGTTGGCCCCCCTTTCCCTCTTTTTTTTTTTCTTTTTTTTTTCTCTTCCTCTCCACCCTTGACGAATAAAC